CTCGGCGGGACGCAGGCTCGGGGGACTGGGGTCGTCGCAGGTACTCGTCGATCTCCCGAGGGCGTTCACCATACCGGGGGCGCGGGTCGCTTGGATGGAATCCACGCAGCCCGAGTTGTCGGTATGGGCATCGGCGGTACACATGGTCAGCTTCCCCGCAGTGGTAACACAGCGGGCGTCGGTCGGCCGTCCTCCAGACGTCTGTCTTCCTCGGCGCAGGTCGGTCTGGGTGAACGTGCGCCTGATCTTCCTGTCGTCGGGGATAGTGCGGCGTTGGGGCGTCTCTTCGGGGTGGCGCCGCGGCTTGGCGGGGAGCTTGCGGCGGTCGTCGGGCTATGGCAGCGTAGCTCAACGTGGGTTCCTCCGGTGCCACCGTGGTGACGGGAACCTCTGGTTGGAGCGGCCGTTGTACTTCCTCGCGCACAGCCTCGGCAATGGAGAGCGTCGCTGGTCAACTTGCGGCTGGCAGCAACTGGCGGAGTTCCTCCCGGATGACCTCCCGGATAATTTCGCGGATGTCCGTACCAGGAGCGTTCTCGCCGCCAAGCAGCGCGGTTGCAGCGACACTTGGATGTCGCTGGTAGCGGAAAGCGCGCGCTTGGAGGGCGCGCTCGATGTTTGTCGCCTCGGTGACGAAGGCTTCGACGGTGCCCGGTGGGTTGCGCACGAGTCCTCCAAAGATATCGCCTCTCACCCCGCGCATGAGGACCCGCAGCTTCTTGTTGTCTGTGGCTCGTGGGTCGGCACGGGCGCTCAGGCGGAGGACATCTTCTACGAAGCTTGTGACGCTTTCGTCGGGGCCCTGCGTTCGAATTCGGAGGAGATCTTCTGCCTTCTCTCGTCGGTGTAGGGTGGCGAAGGTCCGCTGCAATGCGGCCACACAGATGTCCCACGACGTAAGCGAAGCCTCGTGATTTTCGAACCAATACCTCGCAGTACCCTCCAGCGAAAAGTAGAGGTTCTCGAGGCACTGCTCCGCAGTCCATCCGTAGTGCCGCGCCACACGCTCGTAGTGCTTGATCCAGTCTTCGACATCCTCATGGATCTCACCGTGGAAGGGAGTCGGCGTACGGGGGGCGGCGGGCAGGTAGACGACGGCAGGAGCGGCGGGGGTCGGCGACTGGTTGGCCATCGTCGGCTTCGTTGGCTGCTTGGTCCTGGGCGGCAGAAGTCCGAATTCCGGGTGTAGGCCTTGGGTGCGACGACTGAACCGGATCTCGGTAGTGCCTTCGTTGGTTCTTCGTGGGCTTGGCGTCGGACTTGCACTGCGGTCCCTCGGAGGGGTACGCGGCAGGGGCATGCGTTACCCAGCACCTCCACCTAAAAATGTCACGGGTGGTGACCAAAAACAATAAATAAACAAGAAGAAATAAACGTTTAATGTGGCGAACTTGTGCCAAAAATAAAAAGGGTACAAAGGGTAATAACAGAGCGTCGCGGGCGTCGAAGTCGGCGTGACAGCAGAGTCGAACGCTGGGGCGAGACTGACTCGACAAGGTCGCGAGCGGCGTCTTATCTAGAGTAAGTCACTATCTCGAAGATTCGGCGGAGAAGGTTCGAGCGTAGCGCGCTCGGGGCGAGAATGAACACGCACTTTCGAGAACAACATAAGCGGGGATAAACGATAGAAGTTATGTCCGGAGCAAGAATAAACGAGAAAGTTCTAGAAGTCCGTGACCCCTGCGCGCGGCAATATAACTGCACAAAAAGACAGGATTGAAAGCTCAGAAATTTACAATGTGGCAGCAGCAGCAGCAGCAAAAAAAAAAAGCTCAGTTGAACACGAAATGTAATAGTAAACAGTGATATCCAACCTGAAATGTATATCGGTAGATTTAGTCTTGCGTTCCCTCTGCCGCCACCGCTGCCAATGTGCCGAGTCGTTGGAGCGCAGTCCTTTTTATTGGCGGTCCCCTTGCGGCGCGCGTTGTTCGTTGTATCCAGGGCTGGATGGAAACTGCAGCGTCGTTGTCGTCCAACACGAGCCCACAGTCGATGAAAAGCGGCCTGGAATGTATATCGGTAGATTTAGTCTTGTGTTCCCTCTGCCGCCACCGCTGCCAATGTGCCGAGTCGTTGGAGCGCAGTCCTTTTTATCGGCGGTCCCCTTGCGGCGTGTTGTTCGTTGTACCCAGGGCTGGATGGAAACTGCAGCGTCGTTGTCGTTTAACACGTGCCCTCAGTCGATGAAAAGCGGCCTGGAATGTATATTGGTAGATTTAGTCTTGCGTTCCCTCTGCCGCCACCGCTGCCAATGTGCCGAGTCGTTGGAGCGCAGTCCTTTTTATCGGCGGTCCCCTTGCGGCGTGTTGTTCGTTGTACCCAGGGGTGGATGGAAACTGCAGCGTTGTTGTCGTCCAACACGTGCCCTCAGTCGATGAAAAGCGGCCTGGAAACTGCAGCGTCGTTGTCGTCCAACACGAGCCCTGAGTCAATGAAAAGCGGCCTGGAATGTATATCGGTAGATTTAGTCTTGCGTTCCATCTGCCGCCACCGCTGCCAATGTCAGTACATTCCCTGAGTATATGCTTGTACCTTACTTAAAGTATTTTTTATTCTGGTATTTGAAGAAGAAAGCACAACTCCCGACTTCGAAGTGCATACCCCAACTTTAGTCTCGGCGGAACTAAGCTCTTCCAAGGACCACGTGCTCGCGTCCTTGGCTTTCCTAGCTGCGTTACACAACATCTGAGGTCGAGTACAAAGATTTACAAATCTCTAACAAAAATAAAGGAAAAAAAAAAGTGCATTGTCGTTAGGTGAACACGCGCTATTGTCTCTCGAAACATCATCAGGTCATTTATTTGAGTGAATTAATCCCGAACACAAATAAGTGCCTTAATAACTTTATTCCGTTAAATAGTTAGTCAGGGAGGGCAAAGAAATTACTCAGTGACCGCTTGACTTTATCCAATGTTTGCCACTATTTCCTAAAACAACTGATGCACACCCTATTACCTCTAAGGCAAATCATACCAGTAAGAAACAAAGCAACAATCTATAGGGAAATTAAGAGATGCCATCAAAAATTGTGTTAAAAGTACGCGTACTTTACTTTGAAAATACATTGTATTTTCACAGGGGATATTATCTTCCAGAATTTTTTAGGGTTGTTACGCAGGGTACTAGAAAGATCCTCAAAAAGAACTTATGTCTAGCCGGACGAAGGTTCCGAATGTAGGTCTTAAGACACAAAAAGTAGGCATCCCAGGAAGCGTTGCAGTCTAGACACGCCTTGCTTTTCTAAACAATCGCTTTTTTTATTGTTGAGGGACTTTAAGGCTTAGTTATACTATGGGTTGCAATCATCGCTCCGTATAAGGACAGAGAGAACAAACAAGTCAAAGAGATTATTTAACTTTTTTTTAAAAGGTAACCAGTTATGTTCCACGGTTCTATAGGGTAGAAACTGGCGGCATATAACGGTAGATATGCAGAAAGATTCCTGTTCATTGCGTCTAAATTGGCTTTGGAGTAGTCCTTGATAATTTTTTGAGGATGGGTAAGGATAACTCCGCGGTCAGCAAATCGTTTTCGCTAAAACCGTTCGTTTGGCTAATGGATGTCACGAGGTCTGGGGACGTCGTAAAAAAGATCAGGGATGCCGTCTTCACGTGTAGGTTTGTTGACGACTTGGGTGAGATTATGGTTTAAGCATTGATTGAGAAAATTCCTGGCTTCACTGGACCCACTAGTTGTTAGACTAAGCTAAACTATGTTAGGAAAGTTAAAGTCGTAAAAGACAAAGACATTTTATCTTGGGTACCGCTCATTGATTTCAAGCAGCAGAGAATGAAGCTCGTGGCAAAACATGCCGCTGGTGATTCGGAGATCGGTAGCAGACACCGATAATAGATTTTGTGCAGGACGATGTAACACAAACAAAAGTAGCCTCAATATTGGAGCTGGTAGTAATATGAAAGGAAGAAATGAACTTTTTTTTTTACCGCTATTAGCACACCGCCTCCTCTCTGTGCGGACCGATCACATCGGTAAATATTTAATTAGAGAAGACCAACGCTGGACACAGATTGGAAACAAGTCTTGCGTCAGCGTTTTTCATCGAATCAAGTTTGAGCCGAACATGGACGGAATCGCCGTGTCCAATCCCTGTCCAGCGTTGGCCTTCTGTGATGACGCCATCTCATTCAGCAATACGGCTTTGGTATCTAGGAGGTGTTGCGCCGCGTCGCGGTGGAATGCGGGTGTGCTCAGTTGCCGCTCTGCCGTCGCCGGTTGTTTTCTTTCGCTTTGGGTTTCCGTAGTAGCGGCGCGTGGGCTGTGATGCCTGTGTGTGTGCAGTTAAAACGATGGATGACTGTACCCAAGTCATATGGATGACTGTACCCAAGGGCGTCGACGTACTTTGACAGGCAGAGTACAAAAAAGGGATGAACAAAAATACAGGAAGATCCATTGGTGGATTCTTGGGGAATTCGTTAGCGTAACCCTTGGGGAACGCCACGCACGTCCCCCTTTGGGAAACGCTAAAAACTGATCCGGTAACAAGGCGAAAAAGAGGCAGCAAAATAGAGGAAGCAAAACAGAAAGCCAAAAGAAAAAAGTGAAGGGGTCAGGGTTAGCGTTTCCCTGTAGAGTTTTCAAGAGTCAAGAATCCACGACGGGAGTTTTTTGGGTGCGTTTTTTGTTTTAGTTTTATTTACAAACGGTTTATAGGCTTGAGTCTACCCCAAGATGCTCCCGAAACTTATTAGTCCAATCGGCGCTCAAAGAATAAGAAAAAAAAATTGAAAGCTAAACAGAGAAGAGGACGATTGCGTAAGTAGTCGAGCGAGTGGCTTCGTAACAAGGGAGGAGGGGGCGAGGAAATGCCCCCCCCCCTTCTCACACACACACGCACACACACTCCCGAATAGTCCCGACGCCCCTGAGCTGACCACAGGTGAAGATGGTCATTTTGAATTCGTAAATATCAAAGACTAAAATAAAATGTCAACAACAGCAAAAAAAAATAAATAAATAAAAAACCTGCGACAGGAGCAGTTTTGAACTTGTTTATTTGAGAAGCGAGCGAAAGCGTCATAAATTAGCGGCGAACATCAACGCTGAGAGAAATGAGCAAGGGGACGATCGGGGAGTCACACAGGCTCAGTGGCTCTGACCCACGGGTATTCCTGAGTGCAGTTGACGCAACTTCGCATCACCCGGTCACCGATGTTGTAACCGATCTTGACCCTGGGGTAGACGCAGGTCTCGGGCTCCTTGCACTTGTCACTTGGCTTGACTTCGGTCACGCACCGCGACTCCTTGTAAGACTTGGTGGGTTTGGGGTTTTTCATGAACTCGATGACCTCTTTGACGGTGACCAGGAAGACGTCGTCCTGGGCCAAAAGCCAGTCGATGAACCTGAGGAACCCTGCCTTCCTGTCGCCTTCTCGAAGCCAGCCCTCGTGCAGGAACATCGGGAACGGTGCCTTGTTGTTCTCGTAGAACTCCTTGAAGTTGGCCCTGTAAAATTCGGCAACATGTGCTTGATGAATAGCATTTTTTTTTTTTACTTCGTTTCGCATCAAGTCTGATCAGAGCTGACGATCTTATTCGACTGAGCAAATCAAGTCGCTTCAAAAAGCAACATCGTCATGGTACTCGTCGTCTGTGTTTGCTCGCAGTCACCAGCTAAACCAATGACGCACAGGAAAGAGCGGAGGGTTATGGGGCTTTCACTGTACGTGATTGGTGAAGCCGGGTATGGCGAACGCACAGAGACGTCGAGCGCCGTGCAAATAAATTTTTGATGCTGCTTGATTGGCTCCATCGGCGCGTAGCCTTGACTGCAGTCGGACGTACGAATGAAACGGAGTGTCTTCCAGTCGTGTTGGATTAAGAATGTCCTCAGTAGTCCAGTTGTATTATAAACAGCATGCGTACTGTAACGCTTCGATCCCACTTTGGGCGGTTCGGAAAAAAAACGGTTTCCCAACCTATCGCGCTCACATTTACTACACAGGTACAACTAGGTGGTGCACGCGTGAAGTTAAAATATCAACAAATAAACTTTATCGCTCGAGAAAGAAAAAACAGAACCTGTGTCGAACAATCGGCAGGGTGTCCCTCAAAAAAATTTACAGGACATTTTTTTTCGCCACAAAAATAAATTAGGCATTGCCGGACGCTCATTCTCCGCCCCAAGGTAGTGCTAGAGGTCCGAACGAGATGGCAAAGTTTCAGCGCGAACCAATATTGTATTCAAAAGTTACAAATTATTTTTCTGAAAATGTCAATGGGAACATTTTGTCCGACAACGCTTTCGGATACGTGGTGTGCTCTAATGGCGGCAGGAACGGAAAGCGGGCGAAAATGAGCCCTATTTGTCCATAGAAATTTCCAGGAAATCACCTATAACTTTTGAACAAAATATCTGCCCGTGCCGAAACATCGGCATGTGGTTCGGACCTCTAGCGTTACCTTTCCGCGGACAATGAGCGGTCGGTTATTGCGTTGTTTAATTTTGCGGTGAGAAAAACCCCTGTAAATTTTTCTTTTTTGAACACCTTCGCCTTTTCCCCCGCGACGAAGACGGTGCTCGTTGACTCGGTGACGCTGCCGACATATGGCGTATGCATCCAAGGCGCAGCAAGCTCGCCCGGCGCGCCGATTCGGGTTTCAATAGTACATGATCTAGCGAAAGATTATTATGATGATGCTGATGATGTTGTAGCTGTTCCCTTTGAATCGGGCAGTTCCGAACAATGTTCGTTCCTAACCAAAAAAATATCAAATGAAAAAAGCATCTATTTCTTTCACTTTCCCCCTTGTCCTTCGCGTTCATTTTGCTTTTGTCCTTCGCCACGAATCCTCCAGTTATTGAAAGAAAGCCTAAAAATAAGAAAAAAAAAACCGAATGCACGACACAGTTTTTCTGTTGTCCTCTCCGTTTCTTTATTTCCCAGTCTCAGGTTTTCTTTCAATGATGTTTCTCTCCTGCCTACTTTCCCTCTTTGCGTATTCTCCATTCTCCTTTTCGTTCTTTCGGTTGGTTTTTCAATGCTCACGCCATCTGTCGGCAACGTATCCAAGTTAACGAACACCGTCTGCATCGTAGTTTATTCGTGGATATTTTAACCTTATGCGTGCACAACCTAGCCGCACCTCTGTTGCAAATTCCAGCACGATACGTTGAGAAACCGATTTTTCTGGACGGTCCAAAGTGGGATCAAAGCGTGTACGCTGTAGATAATGCCATTTTTGTATGCAGATGAGCTCACAGATAATGTTTAACTGCATTATAATCATAACCATAAATTGCAAGCTTCACCCTTGTTGGTGTTAGACTGGTGGCGGCTGATAAGACCCGTTTGCTGTACTGACGCCTAACCCCCTGGTTGGCTCAGTTGGTACACGCTCCACCTGTAATGGAGAGGTCCCGGGTTCGATAGCCGGACCAGGCGGATTCTTTCGGTTGCGCACCAGTCACCTGGCTGAGTTTAGAGATGTGTGTTGTTCACCTTGTTCACCTTCTCCAGGGATTATTTTCGCCAGACATGTCTGCTTCGTTCCCCCTCACCGCGGTAAACATTTGTCAAATACAAACCATAAAAAAAGAAAAAAAAACTTTTTTTGTCTGCAAGCCGAAAGTTAGTCCACTCCTAATTTTCACAAAATTTTCTTTTAATTTTAGATAAGTTATCTCTTGGCATATCACATGGTAATAAAATATAAATCGAATCATTTTTTGTTAATTGGGGCGTAAAGAAGTGATGCACATGACGTCAGGGCACTTCATTATTTAAATAAGGTGATATTGCACAATTGATTTAGGAATTTCTTTCCAGACGAAATATTAGGGCCTCTGCGGAGGGGGGAACGGAGACAAACTATACTTCGTTCACCTCTCTCTATATATATATATACTGTGAACGAAGAAAGGAGAAGGTGATTATTGAATTTATTGTTAGAAAAAGAAATTGAGTCCGCAGAACCAGTCGCCGGGATGGTCTAACCGGTTAAGGCGAGTCCCGGACAGGCGAAGGTTGCGGGCTCAATCCCCGCTATATATATATATATATGCGGGCAGTGGGGCGGTCGAAGCTGTGTGCAAGTTGGACCAACCAGTCACGCGTCTTTATATCTTCACGTGATCAAGCTGCCGCCCATATCCATGCCCGGAGAGCGAAGTCATGGCATGGAAGGGAGGCGGTTAATTAGTTTGGCGAACGCGTAGCTTCCACAACCCTGTAAGCTTAGGACTCAATGGGTCTGTGAGTACGTACACTTTACGATGTATGTGACATGGTAATGCCGAATACTACCGTCAGAACGCCGTTAAGATAGCGATGTGGTCCACCATAAAGATGGTAATGATACCGGAGGCGATTTGAAAATTTTCGCGCCTTCAAGATGTGGAGGCCACTTACATGAGGAACTCGTACGCTTCGTCCGCCGACGCAGGCGGCGGGGTGCAGCTGTCGATGGTCGAGCAGGGGAAGTCCATCTTCAGGTGTTCGATCTGGTTTTCCTTAAACCACACGTTCAGAGGGATGGCCCACACTCCAGGGTACTTGTCCTCGGGGCAGGGCTCGATGACGCAAGGGGTCTGGAGCCCATAGTCGAGCGTGTACGGGAACATGATCCTGCCACTGTCTTTCACGCGGTTGTGCGGGATAGATGCGTCGTAAAGGAGTCCCGCGTCCTTGATCATCTTGAAGCTATTGTCGCCGCCGGTGGTCAGGAGGGGAGCCTGCATGCCGTAGATGTCCGAAGCCGGGATTATGGCTTGGGTGGCCAGCAGGTCGCGCTCGCCGACGATCTCGGCTTTCCAGCCGTCGGTGTCGAGGTCCGTCCAGTAAGCCATGGTGCCGTTAAGTCTGGAAGAGGCAACGGGAGACGTCAGCATTCACATGTTCTCATGACTGTCTAAACGAAGCTTCGAGCCGCAGTCTGCTAGTACATAATACAGAAGACAGGGAGTCTTTTTGGGGACAAGTTTATCCGCAGAGATCTTCTCAAGCATCTTAGACGCATTTCTGCTTTATACATATATGTGCTTCGACCATGACTGTAGACAGTTTTTGTATGACCAGTACGACTGGACCTTCACACAAGGAAGACACTTACACCTCTGACCGTTTCTGCAGACTTTCTTTCGCATGACGTACTAGTCGTATGACTGTGGCTTAACGAGTTCGGGTGTCTAATCGAGGCAACCGAACGACCCATGGTTGAAACTCGTTTTCGGCACACACATTCAGCACCAACACGGATTGTTGCCAGCCAGCGAATCTATACGAATTTGTGAGCGCGGCTCCCATATAAATGTGACTGTCATATGTTTCCCGGTACTGCGTTTAATCCTGCGATTGCGGTAGTTGTCTGTTTGTGAGGGAATTTGAATGTATCGTCCCGGCAATTCCGATAGGTGTTGCCAGAACGATCCATTAGAGGTGCAGCCGGACTGTCTAGTATCGCTATCGGAGTTGGCGGAAGTGCCTACTGAAACTCTTACTTCCGCCGCTCTTCTTATTTTGTAGAAATCAATGAAGCGCGAGTGATTGTATTGCTAGCATCAGGGGGGTACGCTATGCGTATAAGAACTCTCGCACGAATGCCCACCACCGATTCTCCATTCACACGCAAACGACATCTCTCTCTCTCAAGCTTCGTTCGTGGAGGAGAACGGCTGTTACTTGCCATGGTCGTTATCAGAATCTCTCAACCTACTACGCAGCAAGCACCTCGCTGAACCGTTTTATTACATAGTAAATAAACGCACTTAACCAAAGCATGGGAAAGCCAGTTTCTTGAAAGAATATAATTGGATTTACTTGAGAAAGTAGTAAGAAGCGGCATTTTATCGTATAATTTGACGAGGAATGCTTTTAGTCCCAGTTCTTCTGGTTAAAAAAAAAATGGAAGGTAAGGTAACTAACGAATTTACCAAAGTAAATATTTGTTTAATTTGCACAGTACTATTTGGAGGTAATGCCGGGTAAATAACAAATTGAGAGAAAAAAAAAACGAAAAAGGAGACTATGTTTTGCAGCACAGAGCGCGAAGCATCTTGTACGAATGCGCAATCGTCAGTTTTCCCAATTTTTTTTGTTTGTTTTGCTATCGCGCTTAAAAAAAGTATTATCAAAGCGACAACAAAATGTGATTATCCGGGCCACCACCAACATAGGTCGTAAATGTGTCCGTTTCACGCCAATATTTGGGAAATAAAGTTAAAACATATTATCAGCGATTGTGTTAACGCTGATTTTGTTGCGCGGTGTACAATTGCACCGAAGGTTGTCGTACCTAAACTCGATTGGGCAGGTTATCAAACTATACGCGGAGCTTTATCAAGCTTGTTGTCCTTATAGCCGGGTGTTTACTAACACAGCATGACAAAGAAATTGAGCCTCGTTATGCCCGGTCTGGGCACGAGGGCTTCGCTCTTGCCCGCGCTATGGTCGCACGAAGAGCGACCTTCGAATCGTCAATTTCAATATCGTTGATCAAAAACAAACAAAAAAATTCGGTTTGTTTTCCCCACAGCTGAAGGCTGCCACTAGAGGCGTGACTGTTTGATCTCCCCCTGAATAGCTTTAGACTCATTATTCAGTGAAGAGAAAATGCCGTATATGCAAAATATCACAATTAAAAGCCACGAAGAAGAATGGTCATTTATGATTATTCACAAGGCCAACGAACGAAACAAAAATATCGTATAAAAAAATCTTTGCTTTGCTGTATTTTTAATCTACGACTATACACAGACGACTGCGTTAGTAACATTTTTGTTGGCTTCTTTAGGATGCTTCTACAGGGTGATTACGCTGGATCTTATCGCGGTAAAACGAGCAGGAAAAATCGAGGCCTGCATATAGAAAGTTCAAAATTTCAGCGAGTGCGCATTTAAATAGTGCATTTTACCTGGTGAAATTCCATGGCGTAGCTCTCTACTTGAGACCAACGACACCTGATGGTGCTCATTTTGACGTTGTCTAATGGGCCACATCAGCTCGTATTGTCGGCTACGTCCGAAACGAACGTTAGTCTAGGGTGGTTAGCAAAAAGCATATACGCTCTGCCTAGTGAATCCCTGTTCGTTGCCCTGTTACCTGTTTACATTGCTCAGGGGGAAGCAACAACGAAACAGTATCTAGATAGAAAACAACAAAAGCCGCAAGGAAAAATATTAAAATATAATTCGTAACAAGAACGGTTCATGTTGTGCACATTGTTTACTTAAATAGCTATTTAGGATTATGAAAAAATAAACAATGGGGTACATCCCTTTAATCAAGAGGACAATGTAAATGACATGTTAGGATGTTAATCTTGATGCATAATAGGTTTTTTAATGCTGTTTTTAAAACTGCGCGTTGAGCTACGTGCAGTTTTGGTTAATTTATCAAACGGCTGAGTGTTTGTTTAGACAATCAGGCATTAAAGGGGTCGTGAAAACGATTTTCCAACTTTTTCCTTCTTAGCTTTCCTCCTCCAACTCGGAAATCACGCATTCTACCAAGCAGTTCAAGAAGGCGGAAAGGAGGGACTCTCCTTTACTCGCACCCTCGTTTGTGTACCCGGACACCGCTACTCACCGTTAGAAGATTAGCTCGTCGCTCAAAACTCGGGCAAAAGTTGCGTTCCCCAGCCCATTCACCCCTAAGGTGACAGTGCAGTAAAAGGTACATGCTCGTTGGGCCAGCCACACTTTTACCACGTGATGAAACTCCCTCGGGCAGACCCACGTGTAAGGAGTTAGGTCAGGTAATGAAAGGGAGGCGGCTGATTGGTCCGGCAATCACATAGCCTCCAGCGCACTGTCAGCTTAGGGGTGAAGGGAATAAGTGAGTTCCGGTGTCGTGTGATGTGCGGTTGGTCTGGGTGACGCGCTTTGGGTACCGCTGATGTATCACACTAAAAAGCCAGACAGCTTTCGTAGTGAAGAAGGTAGAAAATAGTCCGCTGTGTCTTCAAACGTTTGTTTGGTTTTGACTTTCAATCTTCTTTCAGGGTTTGACTATCAACCTTTTTTCATTCGACCCATTGAACGATATGCTATTAGTAAAATCCCAATCTAGATTCATTTATCCCTGCCCAAAATTCGTTTCATGACCCCTTTAAGTATGCCAATTGATGTGTGTCATAGTTGGTCCTTTGCCGAGGTATTATATAAGATGACGAAGTGTCTAGTGCGTACGACTTGGAAGGAATGAATCGAATAATATGGACAGGTGACGGTTTTATCTCGTCGTAGATATGAAGTGAAAGCTTCAGTTCTAAGGGTTGGCGTATTCGCCCGATAGTTGCAGCGAGAAGATACAACTCTTCGTTGTCCGTTCGCTGTGCCTATCGGCAAATGGCGCCAGAGGTTATGGTCATCGCTATTTCGGTAGTCGACGAACACTTTTGCCATTGATCCTGGCAAACTTGTAAGTATATTTTAGCACAAAAAGAAGACTAGGCTTTTAAATTTCACCAGGTAAAAGACAATATCTAAACACACCTTCGGTGGAAGGGTTGAACTGCCTATCTGCTGGTACCAATTTTTCCGGCTTGTTTTGCACTGCTAAGATCCACTGTAAATCTGCATTCGTGGTTTCTTCTTTACAGATGTAGCTGTTAGCGTCCTTCCTGGCAAAACTGCTGATGCACGAATGAAAAACCCCACTCTTCAGCAGAGGTACTGCTCTACTCCCTCTCGTCGTACCTCACACCAGGCAAGTAGCCAGGGGGGGGGGGGGGGGGGGGGAGGTCATGGGGAGGCTACGTACCTGCCTCATACATGCCTCATACATACGCGGCAACCGCGGCAAGGCTCTCTCGCTCCCTTCCCTTGCCCCCCCCCCCCCCCCCCCCCCCACGCACATACCCTGTAGACCACCGCAGTTTTGGAGAAAAAAAAGAAACCCACGTGATCACGGGGAAAGTGTTCTCCGCCTTCCCATCGTTCCTGCTACATCCTCGTACCCTTCGGCGATGAAAGAACATCGGTTTATGGAGTGCCGATACTCTAGGCGTGGCCTATTTAGTGACCCTAGTCAAACCATATACTTTATGCAGAAGGCGGCTGCCAGAAAGCCAGTCCACGTACGTGATTGATCTCAGTGCGATTTCGCTTCCCCTGTTGTGGAGCTCGTGCACGGCCGAGTAGTCGAGGTACTCGTGATTCACGAAAAAGGTGGTTCCGATCCTGCACCCGCTCTGCTTGTTCTTCCTCTCGGGGGTGTCCATGAGCTCACGGTAGAAGGCCATGTTCACGACGTTCACGGCACCTTCGAAGGCGAGCATGACCAGCTGGGGCATGTCCTTGGCCTCCATGCTATTGGGAGGCTTGATGCTGGCGCACATGCAGTTCTCGCTTCCCCTGCACTTTGCCGGGTCGCATTGCTCTTCACCATCGGAGGCAGGAGCCGCCACCACGGCGGCCAAAAGGAACGGCACCAGAAGGACTGCCCTCATGGTTTTGTCTTTAAGAACTGAGCCTATAGAAGAGAATAAGGAAAAGAAAAGTTAAACCTCGAGGGAATAATATTACGTTTTCACACCACGGGGCTAACGGCGAGTAAAGGCCCATTCACAAACTCGCGGTTGACAGCGGCCGACTGAGGTGAGAACGGTTTTTAAAGGCCCTTTGACACACTTGCATTTGACTACGGCCGACTGAGAGAAGACAGGTTTTCAAACCTCTTGTGACGGTAGAGGCTTAAAGACCGCTCTTGCCTCAATCGGTCGTATTCAAAGGCAAGAGCGTGAACTGGCCTTTAAGGCCCGTTCATACACTTGCGTTTGCTTACGACCGAGTTCTTGTTATCTCTTACGACAAGAGAACGATGATGATGATGGTGATTGTGATGCATGTGTGTAGCAATATCCCCTTTGGAACGGGGGGTCACGTACTAATTGTGTCTAAGCCTGCGGGCTCCTTTGTGTAGCCCTAGAACATACCAGCGCGCTGGCCCTTTGCGCAGCCCTAGAACACACTGGCGCCATCTATGAGGTGACTCTGGAACTGCATATAACTAAAAGCGAAAGTTTCGCGGCATTTGCGAGATTAAATGTACGTATACTGTCTATGAGAAATGGTCGGGTATAATATTGTCAAAAGTTTGTAATTTTTTTTTTAATAACGATAAGCGAAAAAAAAGAGGAGATGCCAAGTGGTTACGCGCGGTTAGCTGATAGATGACGTCGGTGAGTTCTTTCGCCGTAAGAGATTTGAAGAATTTTAATGGCATACGGTCGTAAGAAGTTTATCGCATGTGTGTGAACCAGCTGTAGGCCTATGCAAGAAGCGAATTTGTTTGTCTAGGAAGAGAGAATGCGAGTGAAAAAAGTTTAATCAAGGCCTCCCAGATAACAAAGGCCTATTGCAGGGCTCTTTCACTTCACCTATCGGAGGTTGCAGCGAGGGGCACACATTAAACACTAATGTTGTGACAGCATTCGTCTGGGACTCGCGCCTTAGTAGTGAGGACACGTGCTCTTGTCGACCCCTGACGCAGTCCAATCTATGCCCCACGCTGGCCTCCGGCCGGTGACGTCGGAAATCCTGCGACACGGCCTTGCTATTTCTAGTCACCTTTAGGAAAAAAACGAACAAGTTTTGTGCATTGTTCATACGCCACGCGAAGGGGATCGTACACAATTTGGTGGTAAGAGGAAGGAGCGATGCTTTTTTGCGTTTGAAACATGCACGTCTTGAGGAGATAACACATATCTAATCTGAAATGTACCTACACATATCGTTTAATTCTTCACATAAAATTCGGAAATTAGTGTTGCTCCGCGAGGAGCCGGACTACTTTTTAATGGGGTTATTGAGGTGAAAACGACTATAGCCGGAGTTCGTTTCTCCCACTATAGTACACCCGTAAGCGTCTGACTTGCATTCTAAACAATTTTAACCCTACTGTCAGCTATGGTGCCTGACTGCCCGACAAATGTTGTCTCCATTCAAAATTTTTTGGCTCGCCTTGATCGGCTGACCTAAAATAGAAACCAGCTGGCGGGTAAGCCAAAAACGAATCAGTGAACTTAATTTTTGTCCTCCACTGTGTAGTACGGCACTTTAAAAAATATTTCTCGGCAGTAGTATAGTGCCGAATTCGACGACTATGAAAACTATATCTTTGCTTTTAATTTCGAAAGATAATCAGGAAATGCATTACTCCTGAATTATTCGACTGTACTTCGCTGACCGTAGATACAAGCTAAGTCGGGAAAAACGCATTACTAACGAAAAAAGGATAATTTACCAGCGAGTGGTTACAACAAAATGAACGTGTCCCTCGCGACCTGTGAATGCACCCATAGCACTTGCGCTGTATCACGTACGCAATAGGACGCGTTATCCAGACAGTCAACTTTTGTGGTCACTTAGCCTTCTTAATTAGAGAAACTTACTTTTTTGATACCAGATTGAGAGCGGATTTAGCGACATTCGTTCTAAGCATTCATCATAACATCAGAAAACGCTACTATCCTTATACGTCAAGTATGCACGGTGTCTTTTTTTTAGTCGGCCCAGAATTAAACAAATACTATAGGAAATTTGCGTTAGGTATTTTTTAGCCCTCGAGTAACGTTGCTGGCCATGGCGGCCAATAGATAGAAAGGCGAAGTGGGTTATTTAGCCATCAAATTAATTAAAATCTTCAGTCAACTTTGTATATGTTCATTTTGGGGGATATAATAGAAGTGGCGCTTGATCGCTATACGGTCAGGCAAAGATTTGTAATTGGTGCTATGGGGAGCGAAACGTAGCAGGACTACACGTCTTTAAACCGAAACTGAGCTGTAAACGAGCGGCGCTATTGCGGTCCGCTTAGCTTGCGGAGCCGGCCGAGGCTGGACGAATCGACAACACTGGCGCTCTTTGCTCGCATAGCTCCGGATTGAAGTTGTCTACAAGAATGACAATTTTCGCCCTGTAGGACTCACCACAAATTCTCGCCCTGTAGGACTCACCACAAATTTTTCGATCACAATTTCACGGCAGACACAAACCGTATACCGTGGTAGAGCGTCAATCCTACAAATACATTATGCTTTTTAAAGCTGAAAATAAAAAAAGAAAGGTTGCTTAAAACTTTTTAGTTAACGAGCTAACTAATTAAAACATTTTACCCCGTTTCTTGTGGCCACCGTGATCACCAACTTAGCCCTAGAGATAAAAAAGAAAACACTCTAACACAAGTTCACATAAAAATAAATTAAAAAATCTGCATGAAAAAAAAAAAAAAAAAACCAGTCCGATACCACTTACTCAGATCTGTTTAAGCTCTGGTGACACACACACACACACACAAAAGGACTTGTGCACACTAACCGAATGTTTGACGACCAATGCGACGGCTTCAGTAGCTCATAAGACTCCTCGTAGCAGGTGATGGTGACTTGATAAACGTTAGGGACCTATATTTATAATCGGTTTCAAGTGGGTCGATGTACAACGACCCCATTTGATTGATGGCCCGTGATAATAGGGATCGATAATATGCAGGAGTGGCAATCACTTCATGAAACCATGTCAATGTGACAATCTTATCCGATCACTGGGAGGTGAATGCACGTTGTGCTGCAAGGCGTCAAGACACGACGACATATAGGTCGGACTCAAGTATCGGGGAGGATCATTAGGGAGTGTCAGAAGGAAGTTTCAGTATTGCGTGCAAGAGTAAACGCAAGCGCTCCGCGTTTGGGTAATCGTTGCGTGCCACACAGTGCGCATGCGCCATACACATGCAACGCAGCGCTTGTAAGCACACTAGTTCTTTTTTTTTTATCATTTTGTACAAATGTATATATATCGTAAGAGGGTAGGGGACATTTCGTCGAAGGCCGTTTCATCGAATGAACGGACATTTCATCAAACGCCGTTTCATCGAACGCCGTTTCATTGAACGCCGTTTCATCGAATCGCTAAGGGCCGTTTCATCGAATTTATTTTTTATGGCTCTGTCCTGAGTTTTTGGGCATAACAGTGCTTTATAGATGTTTCATTTTGCATTTGTTAAGACTGAGGTAGTCACTTGTGAAATTGTTTTGAAGGTGGTGTCAAATTACTAAATATAATAACAATTGGCATCAAAAGAAATAAAAGCAGTTGGGTATGCGATTTAATGAAAAGCTTTACTGATGTAGATGACTGAAGCCTCGACACTGTAAATAAAGGACAGACACTTAAAGCACTTTTAAGTGTCTGTGATTTCTGTTTTTTCTCATTTTTAATTGTTTCATGTTACATGGATAGGGGTCATTGTTTCATGGAGGCTTTGTTCTCGAAGCAGGATATGTTCACGATGGACCTTATCTTGTCACTGCACCCAGTGATATAAAAACAGAAAAAAAGAGAGATAAATAGAGTAAATTAGAGTAAAAAGAAAATTCCAAAATATTACACACTGTAACGTTGTTCGATGAAAGGCGTTCGATGAAATGGCTTCTATGAAACGGAGTTCGAGGAAATGGCGTTCGATGAAATGGTGTCCGATGAAACGGCTTGATGAAACGGCATTCGATAACATGGCGTTCGAGGAAATGTCCGGACCCAATTGCGAGAGTGCTTAGGTCGGTGTTGTGGGAACTCAAGGGCATGGGAGTCAGCCTTCCCCCAATACCAGCACGCCTCTACATTCCTACCTGTCAAGTGCAATAAATAATATTAAATATCAGCGAGTCAATAGGGAGTTTTCGTAGATCGTTTTCGCCGTCCCGCAACGACTCTCCGCAACCCGCTACAATACCCGGAACTCTACAGTCAAGGCCACCGGCGCGCCGGCGCAGTAGCGGCTGCTTCGTTGCGGAGTGCTTAGCGGAGGGCGAAACGCGGTCTACGAAAACTCCCTACTGTGTAGGTACGCACACTCCGCTACCGATTTTTGGGTGCGTATGCAGCGGTCCCCTGCGAGCCGTCCTCGTCGCACTCGTCCCACGCAGGACAGTGCGACCATGGCCTCCGAGACCCTGAAGAGCGCGAACGCCGTGCGGACTCCGGAGAGGGCGTAATCGGAAAAAGAGAAGGAGGCGGCGTCTCTCCGCGGGGAGGCGCTCCCAACCCAGCCATCGACAACATGGCGCGAGGCAGAAGAGCTCCAGAAGAAGTCCTGTTACGTCGAGTCACTGCAACTTTTACTTACAATAAGGTGGTGAACTGGGCCAGTTGGTTGACGTTATATATGATGGGGAAGACAGCTGAGAAAGCACGCACTGCGAACAGGAACAAACACGACGGGACAGCATTGTCCTGTCGTGTTTGTTCCTCTTCGTAGTCCGTGTTTTTTTAGCTGTTTTCCCCATCTTCCACTTACAAATTTTTGTGTATTGTGGTAGAACGGTGAACAGCTGCTTTCGGGACGTAGATAGACAAGTTGTGATGCTTATTTAATTATTTAGCTTGAGATATTCATCTGGACATGTTGCGGCTTGCCCTGAGAGCGTGCTTTTGATATATTTAACTGCAACTTGCATCGCGTATAAACAAAAGTTTTGTACTCAAAAAGTCTGAATTTCCCGAAATAAAAAAAAAATCATGCTGTCCTTTTTTTTATTTCCGCTCGTTGTTTGACGTAGGTTTTGAGCCTGAGCAGCACCAGGTTTGATCTATAAAGTGCAGCCCGTATGAATGTAGCCGTAAAGCCCGAGCCAAGCCCTTGACGCGCGTGCTGGCCCGTACAAGTGCAGAACGCTACCTGCGACGCTGGCGGCTCCCCCCCCTCTGTTATGACTGGGCGGACGTCGCTACCTCGTGGCGAGCGACGCAGTTAGCGAAATTACACTCGTACTGCTGAGGAACGAGTCCAATGGGACTCCCGAACAGGCTTCGGGCGCGCGATTTGGGATCTCGGATGTTATGGTGCGATGAGAGCAGTTTGCATGGGCACATCTAGATGGTGCCACAACTGCTTTGGTATCGGAGTTTGGTATGCGGTTACGATTAGGGATGCCGCGAACCACCCCAGGTTCGAATTCGAAAGGTTTCTATATTTTCGAACCGAACTGATGTTCGAAATCGAAAGGTGTCTTTCAAAAATCGTGGAATATTGAATTCGAAAAGATCGAAGCTTTCACGGTTTCTAAAAGTACGGGTTCGATTATTTCGAATATATTTTTACTTAACGTTCGAAAAATTCGAAGATTTCAAACTTCACTAACTTGAAATTAGAGATATTCGAATGTTTCGAATTTCTTTGGATCTGAAATTTGAAAAATTCTTATAGACAAAAAGTTCGATAAATTCGAAGATATCGATTTTGTTTCTACATAAAGTTCGAAAATTCTAAGGTTTCGATTCCCTTTTAAGGATAAATTAGAAAAAAAAACTTCGAAGGTTTCGAGTTTCTTTCAAGTTCAAGTGCGCAGAGTTCAAAGTCCGGTTTTCATGTTCCGCCACAGTTTAAATTTCAAACAACGTTTTCAGGCCTCACTTGTTTTCACGAAATCAGGTTTAGAAAAGTTCGGGTGTGATATTTAGACTGCGCGAAGTTGGTCAGGCAATTAAATGAGACGACGAGTGTCCCGGATGCGCTGGAATATTTGCCAATGCAGAGTGACGTGTGAACATAGATAAGTAATTGTGACCGCCAGCCCGGGGTGGGGGGGGGGGGGGGGGTCATTAACGTGCATCACGAAGTAGTGATCACACGAACACACTGTTTGACGATACTCATCCAGTTCGAAACGGCCAGGGGCAGGCAGGTGGTTGAGGCTCAGGAAAACCTTGAAGCGATCTGGCAAACTGCCTCCCTACCCCCTTGCACGCTGTTAGTAATCCGATCGAACGCCACCCGACTGACGCTGGCATGTAATAATAATAATAATAATAATAAATCTTTATTTCGTTTCGGAGACGAAAACAGGGGACATGGACAAAAAGCTGCAACTGCAGCTTGACGAAGGTCCGAGCCCCCTCTTACAGCAGGCGAAGAAAAATACATATAAATATAATTACACACATACGGCTAAGAAAAATAGATATAAATATAATTATACACATACGGGACTTTTCAATACAAAGAAAAAGAAAATCAAAAACATTTTCGTACCTCAGTCAGTGTCATCCCATCGATATCAATTTCTTTGGTAAATAAGTAATTTAATAGAGTAGTTAACTGGTAATTTAATGTTTGATTAAAATACAACGTGCGTGATGGTGCAACAAACCATTTTTCTTTTGGTCTAAGTTGATATGGTGAAGTGAATGGGACAAGACTACATAGACGCGTAAAAAAGCTATCTGTAATCAGCAATGATTTCTTATACGTGACTAAAAGCTTATATTCATAGATATTTTGAATAGGTTTAATTTTTAACGAAGAAAACAAATGTTCGGTATGGTGATAATATGAACAATTAGCGATAGCGCGCACAGCTTTCTTTTGTAAAATAAACAGCTTGTTCATGTTTGCTTTTGTCGTATTGCCCCACACAAGGTGACAATAATTAAACTGCGAATATACCAATGAGTTATAAAGTAAAAGCTTTACAGATTGAGGTAACAACGACTTAAATTTTATGAGTAATCCAACTGTTTTTGATAATTTGGATAGAATAAAATCAACATGTGCGGTCCAGGACATAGTTTTAGTAAACCAGATACCCAAAGTTTTAATTTTATCTACAAATTCAATTTCTTCGTTCTTTAAAACCACGGGGCTTGAGATCACAACTGAAATATTGGAACTGCTGAATATGATGGCCTTGGTTTTTTGTGAATTTAGTTTAAGCAGATTGCTCGTCGTCCATCTATTGATTTTATCAAGCAAGTTGTTACATTTGGCTACAAGTGTGTTAATATCTCGCCCAGGAAAAAAAATACTAGTATCATCGGCATAGATAATAAACTCGATGTCAGGGTCGCGATTTACGTTAACAATGTCATTTATATAAATATTAAAAAGTAATGGGCCTAATATACTACCTTGGGGAACGCCACTGGTTATATTTAGAATATGCGACTTAAAGTTAGATATAACTACAAATTGAGTTCTATGCTGCAAATATGATTTTAATAACTTTAACGTGTTACCTCGAATTCCAAAACATGTTAATTTTGCAAGAAATATGTCATGATTTATTGTGTCGAAAGCTTTAGAAAAGTCTAGAAAAATTCCAATTGTTAATAAGCGATTGTCTAGTGCTTTTAATATCAATTCTTTCTGTTTTAATAAAGCAAATTCGGTAGAACGATTTTGACGGAAACCAAATTGAGACTCAGTTATTAAACTGTATTTTTCAAGATGCGAGGTAATTCTCACAGAAATTAGTTTTTCAAGCGGGTTGGAAAACACTGGAAGTATAGAAATGGGTCTAAAATTATTAATATTGCCTAACTCTCCTCCTTTATGTAAAACGCTCACTTTGGCTAGCTGCACTTTGGCAGGGAACTCACCAGTCTCAAATGCGAGGTTGAAAATATGGGTTAAATATGGCGCTAGAATACCTAGAACAAATTTGGCTGGTTTTATTTGCATATTATAGGCATCAAGACTATTACTGTTTTTCAAACTCATGAATATATTTTGTACTTCAGTAATATCAGTGGGGAATAAAAATATAGAATTTGGTAAAGGTACGGGCATATATTCAATTGCGTTACTTGCAAGGGG